CACCTCTAGCCACGGCCGAGTCAACTGCTAACGCTGGTAATGCCTCTGGGATAGCATGTTTAAGAACGGGGAAAAAAAACAACTGCTGGGGAACAGGCAGCTGTCAGCACTGGGCTGCCACCGCTTGCTTGACAGCAGGGCACTGGCTGCAGCGGCACAGCTGGGGTGCCTTGCAGGCCAGGGAGCAGTTCCCCACAGCCCAGCGTTGTTGGCCAAGGACCTTTATCCACCTAAATTGAGCCTAAAGAGACACGAGATGTGAAAGAAACACCTCTGCAGACACCAAGGACAGTGAAGATGAAGCAGGAGGACATGTGCTGGAGCTGAGATTCCCCTGCAGCCCATGGAGATTAACGACCCACCTGCAGCCTGTGGAGGACTCCATGCCGGAGCAGGTGGCTGTGCCCAGAGAAGGCCATGACCTCATTGGAAGCCTGTGCTGGAGCAGTTCATAGAGAACTGTCTCCTGTGGAAGAGACCCCACATTGAAGCAGGGGAGGAGTGTGAGGAGTCCTCCCCCTGAGAAGGAAGGAGCAGCAGAAACAATGTGTGACAAGCTGACCTGCAATCCCAATTCCCTGTCCCTCTGTGCTGCTGGCGGAGGGGAGGTAGAGCCAGGAAGAACGGAAGGGAGTGGGGAAAGTGTTTTTTTAAGATCTGGCTTTGCTTCTCATTATCCTCTCTGATGTGATAGGTAACAAATTAAATTGATTTTTTCCCCCAACTCAAGTCTGTTTTGCCCGTGACCATAATTGGTGAGCGATCCCTCCCTGTCCTTATCTCGACTCTCAAGCTTTTTGTTGTATTTTGTCCTCCCCATCCCACTGAGCAGGAGTAAGCGAGTGGCTGCGTGGTGCTTAGTTGATGGCTGAGCCTAAACCACCACACTCATCAACAATATTATAGTTAAAACTTGTAATGAAAAAACCCCTCCTAGTACCTAATTCTTTTTCTCTGGTGCTACATTTGTCTCTCCACTGCTCCTCTAGCTGCTAATGCTAATGGGTTTTGTCTGAGGGAAGAAGTGTGACAGCAAGTTGTCCTCCTGAGATATTTGCTGAGAAGAGAATGATATTCATGGTAGGAATTTTTTATCTTCTTTGCTGGGAGGAACATGATGTTGATGCTGAAGGCTGCTTCCTCCTTGCTCTAGGGGCTACCTGGGTTCGTTTCTATGTGTTTGTTAACATGCTCTACACTGATTTTTCTTCCTTGGTTCACGCTTCCTATGTTGCACCTAACTTTACTATTTATGGTTAGGGCTTATACACATAAGACATCTTTCTTTTTTGTTATGCCTACAACTGGTTTTACTCAGCTCCTATGTTTGTAGTGCCCTCATTGGTGAGTTACTGATAGCCCTAGGGCCCCTGGTATTATCCTACTCTGAAACCTTTACAGCCACCACTATCTCAACATAACTTTACTTTTTTATGCTTCATCATTAGTCTATGGTCACAGATAGTTCATTGTTCACAACTGATTTACTTGTTATTCCTATTTATATAAAAACTTTTAACAACAGACATTACATCAATTATACAAAGCTAAGCAAAACTAAAACAAAAAAGGTAAGAGCCACCTGCTCATTAGACAATTGCTGATACATAATAAACAAGCTGAAACAAAGCTCGGAGCTAGTTGAGACCAGTCCAGACAAAACCTGACAAGCTCTCAGGCCTGTGTTAATTTAGCACAAGCCTGTGGCTTGTTATCAGCAACAGCAATACTGTATTTACTAATGCATGGGGCTGCACAGGGCATTCTTAACTAAGGAGAAGAAATTCCGAGGGATCTGGTAAGGGATTCCAAGGGATTCAGTCCTTTTTTGTTTACTATTTAATGATTAATTTTACATCTCAGAAATGTACAGTACTTGGAGTGAAAGTTAGGGTGATAGCTGATGACAGGATTAGGGTTTGGACAAAATTTTGGTTTTGAGAAACCTAAATTCTCGATGCATCCTTGAGAACCTTGAGAAAAAAAGGAAAAGAGCTTCTCTTGGTTTAAAGTGATACTTTTCCTTCTTCATTCACTTCTCAAGGATCGGGCCCGATTTCTAGTCTAGGGTAGATTTAAAACTAGGAGTAGGGCTAGAATTTGAGAAAGTGCAGGCTGAGGAGCCCGGGTTCCTGCTGCATCTTGGAGGTCCCCTGGAGCTGGGAAGAGGACTCATGTCATTTTCCTCAAAACTATTTTTCCTTAACCCCTTGTTGGCTCCTGTCTCATGCCTACCTTTATGTTTTGAAAAAAAGGTAGGGCATAGATCAGGGTTACAACTAGGGTTTTGGAAAGCAGGCTCATGAGCCCAGGTACCTACTGCAACTTGAAGGTCCCTGAGTGTATAGAATAAGTTTCAAACTGTTGAAGATACCTTTTCTTCATCATTCTCTGCTCATGGGATAAACTTCATTTCTAGTTAAGGCAAAAATTGCAGTTAGGGTTAGGGATTGGGAAAGCTGTTTTCTATTATTTAGTGCCTTTTCTACGGAAAGTGCAGACACCTTCCTGGGAAGATTTTCGGAAACCTCTGGCTACCTTTTCTCTGGAAGCCATGTTTCATGTTTCCATCTGGTCTCAAAGATCTCTAATGAATAATCACCCATTTTCAACAAAAACAGGAAGATGGTTTTTCTGTGTGTACATGGAGAAAAAGTATAAAAAGTCTACCATGTACGAAAAACAGATGGCAGATATCATGGTATTCCCTCTTCCTCCTCCCCTGCAGCACTGCCTGTTCACTGTAGCCCTCCTCAGGCCCGACTTCTTGGCCATCCCTGAGAATTCTGGTGGAGTGTGGTCGCCGCAGGCCTACAGCAGGGTCAGGCTCCAGAGCCAGACATGTGCCAGCGCAGCCTGGCACTGCTAACCACGGGCTGGTGCTTGAAATCAGCAGCTCAGTGACTCCACAAGGTAAATTCAGAGACACTTAATGAATTTAAAGGATTAGCCAGTCTTGAGAGCGATCCAGCTCACTGTCTGGGGTAATCCAGCCCAGGCGGGATGCAGATGACCCGGATTACACCCCACGCAGTAAGAGCTGCCACACTCGGACATGCCAGGCTCGCTAAAGAAAAGGAAATTAAAGATGAGCGCTGTGTCAGCAGGACAGCACGCTCCCTGCGCCCGCCCTTTCTCCGCCTCCCTCTGCCGACCGAGCTGTGTGTAGGATGACACCCGGCCCTTGGGCGCCGCGGTGCCACTGCGGCCCCTGGCGGGTGGGATTACCCGGGATGTAGCCGCCAGTTTTGGTCGGTCTGCCCCCAGCAGGGGCCGCAGCGCACCTGCCTGCAGCGCTGGGAGCAGGCGCCCAGCCCGCCCCGATCCAGCGCCCGGTGCGGACCTGTGTTGACTTCCAGGCTACAACGTGGAGTCTGATCGATTCCTCAGGCGTTTGCTTGAAGAATATGTTTGAAAGAGGTGTTTGCTCATGGATTTGTTTCTCAAAGACCTTTTATTATGCCATCAAGGCATCCAGAAGTTCATGTTGATGTCACTGTAGTTCAAATTACTACTGTTAAATGATGTTTGTTGCTGGAAATGAATCTAGAAATCTTACTACTGGAAATCCATTATTTTCAATACAAACAAGGTATTAATCTAGTGAAGCGTTACGGATCAAGCAGAAACAGAAATCCAGACAGTGCGAAATGTATTTTTGCTCCCCATTTCCTACTTCTGCTGGGAGACCAGCACACATGGACAACCTCGCTCATGCGGACAGCTTGCAGGACTCTCTCGTTCAGTGACCAAGTTGCCCATTCTAGTGTTTCCAATAATTAGATTAACCAGAACACAATGAGTATATGGTAAAAACTAGACTGAAATGTGTAGTTTTTTTTTTTTTTAAAAAAAAGAAAAAGAAAAAACCCGAACATTTTATAAATTATGAGGTTTCAAAAGCGAGTGTTGTTTCAAGACCAAATTTCAAAGTTCCATTTAATATATTTAGAACTCCCATTCTGTTTAACATAGTTAAATATTTTCTGTAGTTTTAGTCACAGTAAGTCAGGAAGAGTTAAAGGGGAGCAATTCTTCGTTAGCGAGTTCTTTGCGTAGAGAATAGATCCCTGTACCAAAGTGTGAAGGCAGTGCTTTTGCCACAAGGACTGGTAGGTTTACATGTGCACTGGTGGACATGACAGTTGCAGTCACAGGGCACTGGAGAAGCTGTCCAGTAGCAGGGCTATTAATTATTATTCAAAAAAGTCAGGTCTTTTAATTTCTAAAAAACTTGAACTTGCCTTTATGGCCTGTGCAGGAACTGACAGTTACCATAATGTTTTATGCTCCCTCAAGGAGTCAAAAAACTTGCCTCCATCTCACTCAGGTGTTTTTTTCCAAACTAGATAGCAGAATTTATGAATTTTATACATGTGCAGTTTTTATGTATGTGTCCCTCAGCTCTTCTAACAAAACAGTGTAATTAAACATTCAGATTTGCACTGCTCTGTCATACACCAGTTAAGTCTGGGGGGTGTGCCTTTAGTGAATGGAAATTATCTATCGATACTGTTTAATGTTACAGCTTTCTGAAGGCTTTAAATATAAAAGTCAATTATCTGTTACATATTATCCTTTTTCCCCTCATCACTAGAAAACACAGGATAATGAGATGTCCAGTTTCCTCAGAAATGCTGATTGTCTTCATATCATATTGATTGAAATAGGAATTTCCTTTTGATTCCAGTAAGATTTATCAGTGACTGGCATCTCTGTGGAGCAGTAACATTTTTTTTTATCTTCTTAATGACATACAGAAAGTCAGTGTTGTTCTGCAGTGCTCAGGCTATAGCCAAGGCTTCAACTGACAGCTAACGAAAGCCTAATTGATAGCGTTTCTTCCCTAGCGTTTTTTATTTCAGTCAGCACACAGGATGAAGAGTGGAAAGTGAACAGAGATGAAGTCAGGCTATGAGCAAGGGAATGATCAGCTAGAAAAGCCCGCAGTCTTTCAGATTTTCTTTGATTATTATGTCTGTGACTGCATCAAATACAAACTTGACATTCTGAGTGTCGGTGGCACATGTCAGGTGAGAATATATCTCTTTGTCTTCTTTCCTTATGTTCAAATCTAGGAATTGTTTCTTGATGTAATTTCCAGCATCTTCAAATGTGTTTAGTCCTAATGGAGAGAACAGTAAAAGAAAGAGAAGACACGTTTCACACAAGATTTTTTTTTTTTTTAAAGGGAATTAACTTCATGCATTAGGTATGGAAATTTTGTATCTATACTACCCATCAAAATTTAAATTTCAATGACTGACCAGAAGCCCTCATTCTGAAGTTAAATGCTCCTGAGTAAGTCAATGTGAAATAGCTAAGGACCTTAGAGAGAGAGCAGAAAGTGAGAGAAACAGAAGAAAAAAGAAAAGAGCGTAAACTTAAAGGGAATCAAGTAGGTAGCAGACAAAATTAGTGGGAAATACAAAAATTAAGCGAGAAAGAAATGAAGAAGGAAAAAGGGAAAAAATCCAGATGTTTATGTATTCAATCGTAATTTCTTCACGCAGCTTTTCTGCCTTTCAGTAGTACTCCTTTAGAGCAACAGCAGGTGTGAACACTGGTACTGCAGACTTGCTGTAGATCCAGAGCAGGATGGGATTCCTGGAGGCAGGCTGCTGCTAAGAGCCCTCGCTGGCTCTGGTCCTGTCTGAAGCCTCAGGTAGTGTAAAATGGTGTAGCTCCACTGACTCCAGCACGTAATGTTTGAGTATCCCAGTGTAGCACTGAGCAATTTTGGGTTGCTGTGTTGATGTGTCCTAAGCAAGTGAGTGAAGGAGCTGGCTTTCAGGAAGCACACAGAACCCATCTTCTAATAATAACATTTCTTTAAATATGTTTTATTCTGGACACTCTCTATCACAAGTACGTCAGGTTAATACTAAAATTCTGACAGCTTTTGGTTTTTCTCTGTCGCTTTCTGACCCAGCTTCATATATTCTCTTTCATCAGCTTGGAACAGCTGCTGTTTTCTATTTCCAGTAGACACTACTGTGACATATAAAAAGAGGCAGACTTCCTTTATGGAACAGTTTTTCAAAATAGGGACAAAAAAACAGATTCAGTTGGGTTTTTTTTCAGTGTATATGAGTTATAAGTCACCCACTTGTACTGAAATACTAACTGGGTTCATGATATCACGCTTCAGCCATCCAAAACTTCTGTTTTTCTCAGCTTCCTCTACCACCAATGGAGAAAAATAAGCATCTCCAGAGAGAGAAAATCGCACCCCAGGATGAACATCATGAGTTGGTGAGATGAAGTGGATTCTAGCCATGCCTGTCCTGTACCATTCTTTTGAGAGAAAGGCTAGATGCTTAGATAAGATGCTTAATATTTAAAAGGTTATATACAGGTGACCTAACTCTTTAATGCATGGTCTGCACTAGTCAGCTGAATGTATTTTCTTCTGAAAACCTCAAACTTACCATTATACTCAGGAAAGCAGATATTCAGATGAACTTTTGCTATTTTCTCTTGAAAGAGGTCTTTTTTGTTTAGAAACAGCACGATGGAAGTGGCTGCAAAGCATTTGTGGTTGCAGATGCTGTTGAACAGCTGAAGGCTTTCATGCATTCTGTTCTGTTGAGATGCAAAAGGTGACCATGAAAGACTGACAAATCTCATCCTCATATATCATTTTTACTGTAATGCTCTTTACTGGCAAGAACCAGTACAGCATCATAGCCCTTAAATGGTTATCAGGGAACAGGAATAGTTCTGATAGGCCATCAGAGAGTACATTAAAACTGCAGCAAAAAGGGCTGTTTGTCTCTTCTGACTCACCACTTCTTTATCTTCCACCAGAACCATGTCATAGGCACTGAGTGCAGCACAGAATATGATGCAAGTAACGCCCTCAAAGCAATGAATCCACTTTTTTCTCTCTGATCGCTGTCCACCCACATCAAACATCCTTTGCAGAAAAAAAAAAATATATATACAATGTAAAGCACTAACTAGTAAGGATGTAAGTCATGCTATTAACGCATAAAGTGCAACTAGACATGAATGACAGTCAAATATCCAACTTTTTCAAATAATAGTCCATTCTATCCCAACGTATCAAGGAGTACTATCTACTACTTATGGCTTTAGAGTGGGCATAAAGTGAAATAAAAAGGCTTGAATACCTGCATATAGGAAATATATTTGGTACTTTCAGGTGGCACTCCCTGTTGAGGAAGTGGGGCTCTGTGTAAGAGCTCAGTGCAGCACTAAGCCCTGCAAGCAAGGATTTATTCAGGACAGAGTTCATCCATTGACAAAAGACCCTCAAATCCACAATCATTTGTTACTTCATAGTTTTGCCTGTAGCGAACTGACACATTGATCGATAAGGCAAATGACTGGAAGCCAGTCGCAGGTTGACCCACTGGTTATGTTTAATTGGCTGGTGTCGATCTATATTTAGTCATCTGTTCATTGTCCTGGTGAGGTCACTTAGCTAGCTGTGTAACCTGTAGCATGCGCCTATGTGGGGGCGTCTCTGTCTCGTCAATCTCATTAATTGCTGTTTAAGTGAGAAGAAATCCCTTCATTTGTAGAGAGCAAAATGTAGGACTGTCCTCCTCTGGGTTAATTTTTTTTGATCTTTGCCAGAAATGACCACCTTTGGGTAGAGTCATATGAAATGTTTATGAACTCTTTATCCTGGGTCCAAAACCAACAGAGCAAACCTAGCTGGGATCTATTTAGGACAGTAGTTAGGGCCCAACTGAGATGAAGCTGTTATCAAAGCTACCATTTTTCTGCTTAGCACTAGCTTTCAAAATTCCCACTTGTATTTACAGTTCTTCAGTGATAAGGGATAGGACTTTCTTTTCACTGTTTTTCTGACATAGAAGGCATGCAACTTGAACATTTTTCAAATGCATTGGAAAGGAGAAAAAAACATGTAAAAAATCAAATCTATCCTACTCTTACTTTTTCTGTTTCCTTGTGTGCATGATGACTTTTCACTGTGCTGCCTGTTATCGAACTTAAAACTGAAAACCTAATCCCTTCCTTCAAGAAAATGCACTAGAACTTACTCTCTGGATGTATTTCTCACAGTATCTGAAAATTAAACACAACTCAATTTTTATAGCAATGAGAAAATTGGGATTCAGTATGAAAAAATCATGTCAGTAATGAGCAGAGCAAGAATAATTTGTTACTGAAACACCATTTTTTGAAGTATATTGATTCTCTGTTTTCTTCACCGTCAGCAATGCAGCTGATGGAAACAAAGGTTATTGTTCATCATTTTCATCCTGCTTAAAAGAAATGAAACCTTTCCCAATGCTCATGATGAACTGTTTCTGCAGCTGAGGAGTAATTAGAGAAAATTATTTTTTTCTAGTACATTTCATCTCATTGTCTGATCATTGAGTGTCTATAAATGTGATTTATTAGGAAATCAGGAAGCTGTTGTGGAGCAAGATTTTGGTAACAGTAATGCCATTCTTCCAAGCATATCTTCACTGAGTTCAGTGGCTTACTGAAGCGTGAGGTCAGTATGACTTTTTCCTGTGATTAGTGCACAAAGGTCACCTGCTGTACATGTCTTCCTTGATTTGTGATATGTAATTCTGAAATCAGGGTTATGGGCGGGGAAAAAAAAGCTTTAAAATTTAGTCTGCAGTAAAGTTTCAAAAGCATACATAATCGTTTGAATCTGTATTCACTTCCTGCAAGCTTTTTGCATATGGCTCTGTGAATATTCATGAGAAGTCTGTTAAAATAGGACAAGGTCAAGGCCAGAGGCAATGCTTATTGGCAGTTTTTGTTGTACTAACCTTAGTTTGCTTAGCTCTTCTCATGTCACCCCAGAACTTAACATATGCACATGCAAAACTAAAGTCCCTCTGTGAGTGGTAGAAAATGTATTTTGAGATGATCTTTTTCTTGTACCAAGACAGTCAAAGTTAGTCTTGAAATCTCTATATTTTCCCAGGACTGCTCTTGGAAAACAGCTACAGATATGAGACTAGCTGTATATTCATTTGTCCTAATGGTACACATAGTGAGACCTGAATACTAAAATAAAACTTGCCTGTTTTCAGTCAAACTCTTCCTAGCACATCAATGGAAATGACAGCAGGAGAGGACCTATGAAGATCACTTTCTTTTAAAAATATTTAAGTATGTTCTGAGCTCTGGAAATCGAATTCAACGTTAGTGAAATAAATTGAAGAGCACAAGAAAGCTGGATTACACTAAACCAGCAAAGTAACCCCTAAGAAGACAGTAAATAAAAAGAGATGTTTTCAGTCCAACTGTAATTCAGTTCCCTGGAGCAATACTAGAATTTAGACTTTTTCTGCCCAGATTCAAAATGTTTTCTGCCTCTTTCAGTTCAGAAGAGGGACAAGTGTTTAGTGAAGGAGGCATCTGTTCATGTTTTGTTTTTATCCATGTGCAGCTTGTGACCCCAAGCCTCATTTAAGTACATCAACTGAAACTCACTCTGAATGTGGAAGTGTTCCTCTCTTTATAGATGTTCCTCTGGTACTTATCAAGCTAAGTGCGGAGTGATCAGGATCCCCCAGCTGTCTTGCATTGCTCTGGCAATGCAAAATAGCGATAAGTGGCTGGTTAAAATGGATTTATAGCTGCTCTGCACTCCTATAGCAGCTCAAAACCCTTGGACTGTTTTGTAGCGATTGTACCACATCTACAAGCCTTCTAAATACCTCCAGGGATGATGACTCAACCACTTCCTTGGGCAGCCTGTTCCTATGCTTGACAACTCTTTTGCCTGGTATTACTCAAATGCCTAAAACCACTAATGAATTTACTAATGTAACACTACAGCGATGCATAGCAGAGAGGCTAAACACATTGAGGTTTGTGTTTGTGGTGGCATTAGGAACCTTCTTCTTGTCTACAGACACTCAGGTGACTTAATTCTCAATTGTGCTGCTTTTCAGTTGGACCTAGACACTGATTCTGATATTCATTATAATACATAATAATTATAATATATTATAATATTAATCAGGACTGGTAACATTCATGTCAAAGAGGGTTTGCACTCTGATGATTTCTTTCTCCATCCCAATTTTATTTCTTACATAAAATATGATTGTAACTGAAGGTGCTCAGATTTCCAGTGTACAAAGCTGTCTGGAAATATGTTGATCAGAGAAAAAGAAGATGATGTCTATGACATTGCACCATAGCATTTGTGTGTAAGTGCTGAACTTTCATGAGTGATCAGTGTATTAATAAGTGATAATAATTTGTTTGTAGGGCATGTACTTCAGAATCTTGTTTTGTATATGTAATCTCTTTTGTGTCAAAGCATCTGTGTGGTAGCATAAATGGTTTGAGGGATGTTTAATTGCCACATGAGGAAAAAAAAAGAAGACCAATGAAAAATGAAAAAGTTATAATCCTAGTGCTTTATACATCTGTCTTTCCTTACTGACAGTTTCTTGTCTAGACTACATTCCTCAATATCCATCCCAGTCTTTAAACTAAAAATTAAATGGAATTCAGTCCACAGAGAAAACAATTATAGAACACTGAAACTATCATAATTCATTCAAATACATTTTTATGTGGAATTAAATGTTTTTAATTGGTTCACCAAGCATAACGAAATCTTGAGTATCTGGAAGTGCCAATTATTTTCAGTCATATTTCTCAGATACATTAGTTTCAAGATTTTTTTCTGAGCATTTTGCTTTTCATCTTAAATGAGCATGAAGGCATGCATGCTAGTACTGGAATTTCCCATGGGATGGAAATTATTATTTTTTTGCCAACTGTAATGCATTCCAGTGTTAAGAGCAGTTATTTCCATTCTCAAAAGAAGAGAGTGAAAGGTTGAGAGTGCATGCAGATTAGTAGTCATCAAATGTTTTGCATGCTGTTAAGAACATTTAGGTAGGCAAATTTCATAAATGTCACAAGCAATTATTCAAATGGCAGGATACAAATAATGCTTTTTAGACACTTACATATGTAAAAATGTCCTTTTAGAACCTGATATTCTGAGATCTCTTAATAATGGTCCATTATATGCTTAAAGTTGGAGTACTGGTACTAAAATATCTTGCTTTTTTGGCTGTTTCAAAATATTAAATGAGTGGATTCAAGGATATCACAATGGGATTACCAATATTATAATAGGTCAATACTTTTGAAAGAAAATACTTGAGGAAGATAAAACCATAGAAAACTGTCAAATCTGGCTTTCATACCTGAAGTTCAAATCCTTGAAGGAAAACTGGGTCTCTATAATCCCGGTTGTTTTCACTCGGGAGTGCAAAACATCTTGCTCACTAGGCACATAATCTGGCCTTGCCAACCGATCCAAATCATTGAGGTAACTAAGGAGAGTAAAAAGAAATTGTGATCGGTGAGTTCAAAAGGTGAAATGAATGTTACACAATCACTTCATATTGAGCCGCTTTTAAATATTTTGCGTAAATTACACATTTAAATACAATAATATTGGTTTTCATACAACCTAGAGCCACAATCCAGAGCCTTTCTTTTTTTTTTTTTCTTTTTTCTCTCTCTCTATAGAATTGTGATTTAGTTACATGTAATAAACCTCTTTCTAAGAATTTCAGTTCAGGAAAGTCCCTACTTTCCTCAGGGATGCTAAAAACCCACCTTGTCAGGAAAGAGGTTTTGGGCGTTTGCTTTCAGCAAGTGGAAATTGCCACCAAAGGGGAAGAACCGCAAGCATCTTTCAGAAGCTGGTTGACTAGAAGTTATCGCAGCCTATCAGACCTGTTGTAACAGTATCTACCTTCTTAAGTGAAAAGGGAGGCATAATGTTTTGGAGGAATTCACATTTAGGGGCTGTTTTCCCAGAAGACCTATCAGTTTACAAGAAGAAGGTACATGATAATTTTAAAAATATAGTTTTTAATCAAAACTAGGAGCTTCAATGAAGCTGAGGACTCTCTAGGTTAGTATTCTCACAACCCTCTGGAAAAGAGTGGATTATCTGGTTTTGTGTCTGGCATATAGAGATAAAATCTGCATGAAACAAGAATCCAAACCAGATCTTGGAAGCTTGTTCTTGTCCTACAACCCACCCTTCTCCTGTCTCTTCCAGGGGCATGCAGCTTTCTTGAAATGGCTGGACAGAGCCTATGAATTGTACTGCCTGGTCCAGGAATCTGTGTAAAGAGGTTATGAGTTGACAAAAAGAAAAGAAGAGGTGATGTCTGGGTAGCTTCCTACCTTTTAACCAATATTCAAATAAAGAACAAGGCCAAAAGCAAGAAACCATGTGCAATTTTTCAAATTGAAGCATTTTCGAACTTTTGCTGCCCCAGTGGGCACCTTTCCATTTGTAGCCTGTAGTTTCTGACAAGTAAAACAGTGTCCCTAATGTTTATTAGACTTCATGCCTTTTTTTACCTTGTCTAACACAAAGTCTGCCCAGTATGAAGTTCTGCTGTTCAGTTTAACCAGACAACTACCAAAACAAACCTCACAGCTCATCATCCCTGTCTGCAATATTGAATACATCTGTAATAAATAAGATAAAATAAAATAAATTCTAATAAAGCTAGAAACTGCATATGGAGATTTGTAAATATGCTTGGAAAAGGGATTTTCTTATTTTAAGTTGGATAGACTGAATCCACTCAGCAAGGAGTGCCGAACCTGGTCTGGGTAATTCAATGTTTTCTCATTATTTGAGTCCAGGAAAAAACAATGTGTTGTTTTTTTTTTTTAAAAAAATGCAATGCAGCTCTGGTTCTCTGAGTAGGGCCTGAGGGAAACTCAGCTCACCTTTGTGGAAGGCAGAAACAAAAGGCATTTTGCAATTTATAAAGCATATAAGCACTAAAATAAACTCTTATATATAAAACTCATCATAAAGACCTGATAGTTCTTAGTCACAAATACCTAAATTCAATTCAACACAGCCAATTGTAATTGCATAAAAAATTAGACCAAGTTAATTATCTAGTTAATGGAGAAAGAGAGGCATCTTCACATTCTTCATAGAGCAATAGGCAGATCCAAGGGGACACTCTGCAGGCCGGCTTGCCACTGGCAAACTAGTAGGTTAGACTAAATGCCTGATATTTCTTTGGCTTGAATTAAGTGAAAGGAATCCTACCCTGAGAGGCAAATGACAAAGCAAGCAAGAAGCGCCGTGTACTGCTGGTAGCTATGCAACGACCTTTAAGGTCACAATTTATAATCCTGATTTTGCCCCTTCCTTATCCGTCACTCCATCTTAAAACAGGATTAATTCCATACAGGTGAGTCTAAGGAAGAAATTCCAGCCAAATTTAACACACAGGGGATTTTCTATTATTCAGAAGATCTCATATTTTTCAATTAAAACACGCAGAGGAAAGGCAGTGATCAAATTTCATTAGCACAAATTAATAATGAAAAGAGTCAGAGAACATAACCTCAGAAAGTCAGAGTTTACACAGAATAAATCAATACTCTGTGTAGGAGCTGATTCACAGGAGCTAAGAAACAGGGTTTTGGTTTTAAAGGAAATTGAAATGTAGCGTTAGAGATGGTTGAACTACTTTAGCTGGTTTTGAACTGGTCATTAGAAGCCCAGCAGCAAGGGCAAAAATTAAGTTAATTTAAATGACTCAGAGCCAAAGGCTAGTTTTTTGGAAGCATCAGGTACCGAAAGATTAAGAGAGAGGATTAGCAGGATTTTTGAAAGTGTTCAAGCAGATGAAAAACATATCACTGTTCTTTTTAATGTGACTCTAGCAGCAAGTAATGATTATTGGCTCCTTTACAGTCTGTACTTGCTCCCGTAAATACTGAAACCTATTGCAGGTGAAAACATGACACAGCCCGTGACACTGAGAGAGAATTACTTTAGACTGTCGGATCTTCTTTTTAGGCAACAAAACCTAATCTGCCAGGCATAGTATACACACTATAGCTGGTAGTATATATTTTTCTGCATTAGTTTTTCGGTATTTTTTGTTGGTTTTTGTTTGTTTGTTTGTTTGTTTTTTATTTCAAGAAGTGTTTTTTCCTTTTAATTATGTCGACTGATGTGTTATAGGATTTTAGTGCTGGAAACTGTCAGAAAGGATGTGTCAGGAAAGACAAGATTGCTCTGTACTATTCCTATAGAAATATACGGCTGCCATAAAGTACTGCCAAATCAGGCACAAATCAACACAGACAATATTTTCTGTGTTTTAGGTATCTTTCAGAAAGGTCATCTTTCTTTCTTTGAAGATATAAAGAGGTGAATAATTTTTCATATTTTCATGGTATATCCCTTCTAGTGAGCTATTACTGCCTTCAGATTGCCTGGCTCCTGGCCCAGCCTCTGATCATGTCTTTCACTGCTTAGCAGAAGGACACCCCACACCTTCCGAGGTTTCACCCTGCAGGTGCCCTATAGCCTGCAGGAGGAGCTCCAGGAGCAGAGAAACCTTCAGCCTCAACTCTTGAAAGATGGACCTCGGCTGTAACAACCCTCTGCCCCAGGTCTAGAGTCAGACTTTTGCACTCCAGGAAATGTCTGACCCAGGTGACACCTCCTTTCTTTGTCTTGTATGAGCTTAGGGAGAAAACAGCAGAGCAGGACCACTACTGCCTGCAAAAACAGCTGTAGAAGCAACCAAACCAGGGACTCCTGAGAAGTCTAAATTTACCTAATCTAGATGTACCCAGCTGAATGGTGTCCCTTCGTGGAGTCAGAGGGGAGCAGCTCTAGTCCCTGCTTATCTGCCTGCCACATCCCAGGCCACAGAAAGGGAACTGGGGCCATCAGGTTGGAGAGCGGCTGTAGCAGCACTGGCCAAGACCAGCTGGATACTGAGATGATAACAGCCCAGGGAACACCCCTCCATGCAGCCAGATTGGTTTAGAGGAAAGTTTTCATAATTCTCTCCAAACTTACATTTAGCAGATTGAAATGTATAGATTCGAAGTACAACTCTAGGTAAAACCTAAACTGTTTCAATTCACCTTTTCCCTCATTTTGTCAATCTTAGAACTACCTAGAAAGAGAATAGACATATTTTTTTTTTCCACAATTTAAACGAACTCACAGAAACAGGTTTTTCCTTGTTTTCGCTTGTTTCCTTCAGTTAACTGTGATCTTAAAGTTCTTTCCAACACAAACTATTCTATGATTCTACAATTCTAAACATTAGCGAAAAACCTAATTCTTTTTCAGGTTAATGAGCAATAATTTTGCAGGCTATTCTGCACTTGAGGAAGAGCTCTTGTTGCAAGCCACCCATTATGGTGATAGCCAACTGCGCAGCACTTGCAACGGGTGTCACCTACTAGGCTGCCGAATCATTGAGCTGGTACTCCGCTGCCCTTGCAAAGCAGGCCTGGGTCCCGCCATCGCTCCACAGTTGTTTGATGAGTTTCACCAATTCAGAAGACATGTCGCCATCCTCCAGAGTTGTTGCCATGGCACACAGTTTCCTTTCGTCTTCCTAAAAAGAAATTTCAGTAAATATTGTGCAAGCACACTGTGCACCTCCACCTCCTTTGAAGATGTGCTTGGTTTGCAATGAGTTGCAGATGCGAAATTTCTCATTTTTACCGATTTTTCCAGGTAGCTGTACTTGCTTATGCATGTAAGCATCCTTTTACAAGCTCACTTCCCTTTAGTTAGTGCCAAGGTTAGACTTAAATAGTGATACACAGAGTTTTCCTCTTTTTATTGTTTTTTATGTTCACATAAGAGCTCAGTTCCATCTTACATCCACAGATGTTCACAATAGGTCCAACTTGGAAGGAGGGCTTTTATTGTAAAAGAGAGTAGTGGAGTACCAAACACTAAATTATAAAGGATATTTAAAGCTTGAACATACCATATGAAAGCATACATATATCTAAATACATTTTTTAGTATATTTGGAAGAAAAAAGTTCTAGCTTTAGGCCACAGTGAGAAATGTGACAAAGTGAATGTAACTAGTGAATGTATTTCCTCTCTCTATATTTTTTTTATTTAGCGAAGAAGAAATCTATAGCTAAATAAAATCTCAAATATTTAGAATGTATTATTATGCAATTTCTTCCTTTGCAGTCAATCCAAAAAGACTTCAAGTAACCTACTACATTAGAAATATTTATTTTCAGTGGTGAAAAGCTCAGGAATGCACTGTAAATAAAAAGCATGATTAAAATAGGGTTATTTGATACACTGTCACAGCAGTGGATAATTATAGAATATAATTCCTTCCTAGCCATATAAGTAGACAACTGGAGTGACTTGCAGTCAATAGTTGCAAAAGTAGAAATGCATTCTGACAGACACTGTTTTGGCAGGGAATATGTTTTATTCAAAAATAGAAAACATCTTGACAATAATTTGTAACAAATTTATTTTAGGAATGTACTATATGTTTAAATAGAAATTGCAGTTTATGGAAACTGTCAAAGTCAGAGACTGATCAAAAATAAAACACTGCAGGTTTTCTAAAATATTGGAGAAACTGAGCTAACATGGATAAAAAGAAAAAAAAAAGGAGGAACTAACCACTACAGAATTGCTTTAATTTGAAAGAGGAAGGAGGACAGCCTTGCAATTACCCTTCTACATTAACAAAATCAACCCTGTTCTACACTCCCATCATCTTGCTCAGTGCTGGGATCGGCGGAACTGAGTCACGCTTTCTCGTATGCCCCTCACTTCTCTCCAGGGCTGCTCTCCAGTGTGCGCACTTGTTCAGCTTCAAGATAAGAGTTGGAATGTTCTTCCCTTTGAGAAATCATATATCATTTAATGATTACAGCTATCCTCCTACAAGGTTGGACTCGTTGGTTGAATAGCCCACAATGAGAAGCCTTGAGCTCAGAGCCTCCAGTGCATCATAAATGTTCATTGACTATTATGCAAAAGATGGCAACTGTGGATTTTGGTGCTTAGGTAAAAAAGGTTGATAGTCATAACTCTGGTTTATATAATGTTTTATTTCTCTTTGGCATTTAGACAGACCTCAGATGATTTTCATACTAAAAATAGATTGCAATGGTGCTTTAGGAAGAAAAAAACGCCTCTATTACCTTGTGGTGTTTGAAATTACATGCTGAAGTACTTTCAGGACCACTTCGAGGTATTTGCAGTCAGTCCTGGAACATGGATGAACCCATTGCTTTCAGGCCCAAGATAAGCCCAGTCTTTGGCCTAAATTAGTTTAAGCAGCTAAATCTGGACCAGAATACAGCAAGAATAAAGTCCAGCTGAAATCAAAGCTTGTATCAAAACAACTCAAGCTTATAGATGGCTTATGATTTTACAGAAAATGTAAGCTAAGTTTGGTTTTGGAAGAAATGGCAATGTTTAGTGGAGAATCAAACAAATGTGATCAAAATTTCTATTTTCTTTGAAACTCACATCCAGGTTTCTTTTATGTCATTCTAGGGGAAAAGAAGGCAGGCATTGCAAATATTTTATACAGATTTCTTCAACTGTATTCCTAGAGGCCTATTCTGCCAAAGACAGTAAGAGTGGGCTTACTGTACTATAAATGATGAACTTACAATAGCTGTATTTTCTGCATTCTTTATATATAATGCTAAGAAATGAACTGGGTTATTTAACAAAAATTTCAATTCTCGGTTCCCCAGGCTGTGCAATCCCTGGAAAATAATGTCTATGAAACTGGCAAAGACGACAGATAGTGAGTGAACAGGTATAAAGCTCTCAGAAGGTTTGGTAGGACTGAGAAAAGAAGCTGAAGTACTGGGGCAAATTACAGATTATAGACAGAAAACAGAGTCTGGACCTGGTAGTGGATATTACAGGCTGAACCAGGACCTGTGGCCAGGTACTGCAAGGTTCGGTAGATGAGTCCTTACACAGTACACGTGTCTATCATAATTGAGGAGACTGGGCCAAATTGCAGCACGTTCACATGGACCTATTTTCTGTGTGCTGCTTTTGGGCACCATTATGTTTGTTTGAATGACTTGCATTCATGGACTCTTAAAAGAATACAAGAGGAAAACTTCTAGTTTCTATTTCGTCAAATGACCATATGAGCTTTAGTAACCTCTGAAGCGTTTGTTTGTCATTTTTTAGGTCAAAGTACCACATGTCATTGTGAGGAAATGTAGACTTCTGGAACAAAAAAGCTCTTTCAGATAGGCAGATGTAATTCCCTCCAAGATAAAGCTCTAGGGAGCAAGTAGAATTCGCCAAAACTGGAACCAGCTGATTGTGACAGGCCTTTGAGAAATTCTAAGCAAGGTCTGAATTACAGGCAATAGACTAAATCATTGCACTGAGAAAAAAGAGATGTATTTTTTCCTTTATTTCTGTCCCTGAAAATTCAACATGATTGCCAGAAGGTAGCAGATCTTCTTACTGTGACTCTTCCTCTATGTGTTTGTGCATAGGATTGCTAATTGTGTCAGGAACGTCAGATTCCACTTCTCTGCAGTGGCAATGCGCCAGTGCTGCTTCTGTACAACGGGGAGGACTCTGCTCCAGGAGCAATGCCAAACTGAAATATTCCCAGCATGTCTAGATGACCCTTCCTTACATGGCTCGGCCCCAAGATTTGTTTGTAAAAGGGAAATATTTATTATGTTTCTCAATAGCAATAAATAAGTGACTAAGCAGCTAAGAAAAAGTCTTTTTTTTTCTTTCTTATGTCTTTGTAAGTTGAACTTTTCTTTTGTAACAAACTAAATGGCAGTTTATGCAAAGGTTAACCCTCAGGCATCAGCCTTGAGAGAATGAAAATAAGTAAGGAAATCTTGTTATGCATATAACTCAAGCAGTACTTAGTTTCCACTATCATAAAGAAAATATTGAACTCTCTTTTTTCTACTAGTCTCTCTTATTATATTGTAAAAAATTGTGTTCTAATGCCTATTTCAAGAGAAAGAGGGTCATACTCACAATTCTAGCTGGGTTTTCATAACTTATTCCTAACTTAGTCATTGCTTTCACGATAGACAGGATAGACTGCACTGCGTTGCTGTAAATGACAGGTCTGAACTCCATGCGTTCCTGGTAGGTGAAACCGTCTTTATGGATGATCCTGGTGCAAATACAGAAAACAAAAGGTTTCTTTTCAAAAGAAAGAAAATCGTGAAAAGTCGGATCAGGTGTTTTTGTGATCAGTGTGAGAAAGAGCTGAATCCATCTTGGAGAAGCGTTTATCAATGGCTGATCTGCCTATTCTGCTGGAACAGGTTAACAGCAGTTTCTGCAGCTATATGAGGTTAAATTTATGAGGCTAGGTTTTGACTCCTCAATCTGAGCAAATATGTATTGGTTTTTTGCCTTGCAAATCAATATAAGATAGCATATGAATCCATTCCTCTGGATACAGGGCAAGTTGCATAGCTGGAGTAGATCCCAAATAGTTAGTCCTGGGCTCTCACATTGCTTGTTTAGGCATTCTCATTTTTAACCTGAATCTTACCTAAAATAATTGCAAATATATTTTCACACTGTGAGACACTTCCTCAAGAAAACAAACAAATAAACAAAATCTTTAATATTTCTTTGTACATCATTTACAACCTCTAGTTATTGAAAAGTGTTACTGTTATCTATAGGCTTCGGGGACATACCTATTACTCCAAAGGATTTTCCCTGTATTCCAGAGGACAAAGAACCTTAGCAGTCAAATTCAATTAATCTAATTCTGAGAGAGGGATTATAATCTCCTATTCCTCCTTGACTGGCCAATGGCATGTGGTTAACATTCTCCAAAATCGGTATGCAGATTATATCATAACTCAGAGACATCTTTTTCCATGAGTTAAGAAAAGGGATGAAAACTTCATCCATTTTGGTGTAGCATAATTTCAATGAACAGGCAGCAAACTGCTTTGACTGCTGCTGGAACCAAGGCTCTATTCTTCCTCACCTCAGATGTTCAGAGATGAAGGCCAGGCTATTAAATAAATAATTTCTGGGGTTTGGGGTTTGTATTTTCACCTTCTCTCTTGCCAGAGATACAGTCTGGACAGAGCTATGGAAACATAAAAGGGTGATGTGAAAGGATCTGACACGTTATCCCAGAATAAGTACAGGAGTGTGTCTTGGGGAGACTTTCCCTTCATGGGAGAAGTCAGCTCTGTCAGGAAACAGTTCACTCACACACACGTACAAAACCCAATCACAATTGAATGTGTCTTAACATCTCTGTGACTTGTGGATGGCAGAAAATTAAAAAGTCACTTTCTTGTGTCTGTAGATGTAGGGTCTGTGGGAAAAAAGAGTTCTCTAAATGTTTCCCCCATCACTTCTCGATCAGTCAAATCTATAAACTCTGTTTTGAAGCTTTGTTTTTTTGAATGTTGTTTTCAGCATGAATTCAAACAAATCTGCAAGATTCAAAGAAATCCTCTTGTACTTGAGAGAAAGATACAGGGGAGCTGTGATATGCATTCTGGTATACTAGTGAACCTTTTTTTTTTGCCATCCTCTGAAATATCTATGTATCCCTGTGTCAACACAGGGATTTCAACGGAATAATAAGAATTGTTCAGAGAGGAGGCTTATTCACTTGGAGTAGTCTATTGTAGTTCCACGATAGTGCACTGAATAGTCTGGATTGTTGCTTGGGCAAAACAGGACATTGCTTAAATGTCCTGTATGTGAAGTGCCATGGAGCCCAGAGCTCGCCACTGGTGTAAGTGGCCTCCTTCGATGGCTCAGATCACCTTTAACAAGAAGTCGTTTCAGCTGCCATCGCTGTTGAACCCTGCACTGGTACTTAAGCATATTCTTCTCATTACCAAGTCTTCTCTTACCGTCACCATCTGCACAGCTTTTCTATAAATAATGGGATGAAATATGTAGAAACTCAAACTCAATGATGTACATGAACTTGGTTTAAATAATTTGTGTGCTTCACCGCAGTGGCCATAGCAAGATTTCTGGGTAAGATATCTTGCCTGTGGCTATACAAAAATCTGGGATAAGTGAGAAGGAAAGGCCCTAGCACAGTCCACAAATGGCTATTTTATGTTTTCATGCTTTCCCTTTGAAGAACAAAGGACGGAAGAAAATATCAGATTCTGTAATAAAACTAGGTTATGTAATTACAGAAAGAAAACCTGGTTTTGTTTGAGGCTTTTCATGTTTGTTTTGTTTTGTTGTTGTGTTTTAAAAAAATTATGTATTTAAGTCCTCTGGCAGAGGGTATGTTAGCCAGCCTCATAAATCAGTAGTGAATTTTGCTGCTATTATTCAAGATCTGCCCTTCTTAAGGAAAGATTGTAAAATAGGTTGACATCTTGTATGACCAGAAGAGGTATTTTGTTCCCTGATCTTCCTTGAAAAATAATATTTAAAAAATAAATGCAGGATGGTGAAGGCATGAGGTGTTAAGCTACCGATCATAATATCTGAATTATATTTCTATTGGAGGAGAAAAGTTAGTCTCCTGGTTTTTTTCATGCAAGCACATCTTCATACTAGATAGGTGGAGTTGATTCCGTCTCAACAGGCATGATGAGTTACCATGTGTTTTTTTTCCTTCTTTTCATTCTCTGAATTATTCATAGTAGGTTTGTACTGCTAACTTAGAGCATAGTGGAGAAATACTCAACTTGATTTTGAAGAAGTTATAACACACATTGGAAATGATCTAGTCAGAAACACAGAGCTCCAGAGAACCTTTTTTTTATCCCCCTTTTTTAGTTATCCCTCATAACCATTGTAGGCTTTCAGGGCCTTGCAGCATATCTACATTTTGAGCATCAGAAGATATTGTGCAAAGCTTAGTGGCAGCATTTAACTTTGACTGAAATCTTCAGTCTGGAAAGAATGAGGTTTATGAATTAGAAAATTACATTTATAAGAGTAAAATTACCCTGATTTTGGTGGAAAATTGTATTTTCAGGAAAATTATTTCTTTTGTAAGCAACTATCAGTCTTCTCTAGAAAATGTTATGCTTTGCTGAAAAAAAAAACCTGAAAAATTTCCATTTAAAAAAAAAGTCCTTGGTTGTGACAGAAAGTTGACATTTTGTATGAAAAATTATAATTTCATGAACAGTTTTCTTGTAATATAATTCATATTTGTGATCAGGTTGACAGCTCATAAATGCACAGTGGTTTAAAGATAACTCTCAGCTTTGTAGTTTTTTCCCCCTCCTCGATGCCTTTACGAGTTATCGTCCTTCTTAAAGAGCTCAATTCAGAGGAACATCTTTAACCTGCCTCTACCTGGGGAAGCTTTCAGCGCAATATATTTCAATTATTTGTTGAATAGGGAGAGTCTCCTGATTGGAACTCAAAACAGAAAAAAAATTATCTGACATTTAACAGGAACAAAAAAATTAGCAAAGTGTTTGAGGGATGTTTCTGAATCTCTTATTACAAAACGAGCTTTTTAAATAGTAAAAAAATTACTCTTATGACATAAAATTTTTTACTTCACTCTTTATTGGTGAAGATATGAGATAGTTAGGAGAACTTAAATTTGAAATAGTATTACCGATTTTGTAAAAGAGCCTGCTTGATTTTTACACAGGAAGGGATCAGTGCTTAGAAAGTTGAGTCATGTCTAAACAGTTGCAGTTCCTGTGTAATTGTTTTCTACATTTAGACAGGTCTGGGAAGCAGACCTGGACACTGTCTATGAAAATAAAGCTAGATACAACTGCAATATTTTAGCAGGTTATACAAGGAAGGATTTTTGTTGCCTGTGTAAGCATGATCTCTCAAACTCAGGTGGATTATCTATTTAAAGCAGAGACATGATGAGTATTTTGGCTACCCTTAAAAGAACAACATGACTTAATTCATTTTTAGCCTGTTTTGCTATATGTGAAGATATTGTGATAATAAATTGTAAATGGACACACACACACAAATTTGACCTTCCTCTGAAGCCAGGGGAAATGAAGCCACTGACTTCAATCTGTGTGGCACCATGTGCACTTTGAAGAAACATCTACAATTACTCTTGCTGTAGATTTATGGTGCAGTCACAAGATCTTCCTTACCAGATACTCAGTCCAAATTTCAACAGGGATTTCTGCATTTGAGCTTATATAGCTTGTTTTTTCCCAGCTTGATTACTATATGAAAACTTTTTGGGGTGATACTTTCCTTGCTAAAAGCAATTCTCATGACTGCCCCTACTCATGCTAGATAGATGATGGGTAGCAGCTGCTCACTGTGTAGGCTGGCAGCTAAATATGTTCTCACCTGGCCTTTGGGAGACCTGAGCACAATCTTTCTGACCACTGGCAGGAGCTGGAATAATGCTATGGAGATCAAGAATGATCAACAGAGCACAGTTTGGAAAAAACACCTAAACAAACAAGACTTTGCACTATTAAACAATATTTTCTCTTGCAATACAGTGAAATCATATTAAATTGATAGGTGCCAAATTAAAATTGAACAAAGGGAGCTGATTCACATCATACGTAATTAAACTGTGGAACTACTCACTATGCAATATTGTGGAGGTTGTTACTTTACATTAGTTCGAAAGAAATTCAGGAGAAACATAAGCATGAATTATCTGAGGGCTATTAAACGCAGCGATGCCGTCTCTGGTTCAGGATGGTGCCTGAGTCACAGATTATCAGATATTATCAGGGCATCCAGTGCAAGTGTTCCTGTGCATTTGCTTGTCTGCTCTGACGATCTTCTGGAAACATCCTTCATTAGCTATTGCAAGAGATGGGAAACTAGGCTAGGTGGATCTGCTGTGGCTGGTTGTCTGATACATTCATGTTCTCACTACCGTACCGTAACTCCCACCAAAGCTAATGAGGAAGCAAGCTTCTCTGGTCTTCAGCAAGGAGATGGACCAGAGCATGATTTGATCAGACAGATTTGATTACCAATCCAGCTGTGTGTCTCAGTCACTTTGTGGTTTTCTTTATGTTGTTGAAGGAGAACTTGATTTGAATGATTTTTTTTTACATTTTATTCAAATAAGCATAAATATTGTAATAAGACGTTAGCTAGATAGCTTATACTGCAAATACCAAATTCAACAACTGATGTGAATATTCATATACTTACTTCATTTGCTTTACAATAGTGCTCTTTCCTGACTCTCCAGCACCTGCACAAGGGAAATATTGAGAAGACATGATTGATAGATGAATAAGTAGCAAGGATTAAAAATAACTCTCTGGAACACAGAATTTTCTATCTATGAAGAGACATGCTGATGTTTTAGAACCCAATTGTACTAACTATAACCCTTCCTAGGTCCATTCAAACTTAAAAAGAATGAAATCTTGATAAAAGTACTAATTCTGAAAAAAGAAGGGGACATTTGACAATAAAGGAACATTCAGTCAATTAAGAGAAAAATATAGACTCTTTATCAAGGAAATAAAATATGGGTCACATTTTGATTTCATCTCTGGCAGATGGAGAGAAAGACATGAACAAATTACAGCTTCTGACAGCATCTTATACATTACATAGTTTGTAGCTGTGCCTTTAATATGTGTCATGACCTTTTGTAAGCCAAAAGAGCAAGTTCCACGCTCTTTAGCCAGACTCTTTGAGCAACTGGAAAAACAGTGTGGAGACTTCCATGTGGTCTAGCTCATGATGCAGAGGCAGCACATGAGCAAATGTCTTGACTGGTGTTTTGTCAGTTCCTCTTCCAGTTCTTCTTCTGTGAAGTAGTGTGACTGGAAGTGGGAAACCTGCAACAGACCCAGCTTGGGGATGATTCTGCAGGAGATCTCCATAGCTGACGGGGAGGTACCGGCATTTGCCTGTGCAGCCAGTTGCAGAACTAAGGCATAGTTTTGGTCAGATTATGTACCATCAGTTTGCCCTTTTTATCTCACACAAAGTGAGTAATCACAATGCAAACTTTCTCAGTTGGAAATCAGTGCCAGTAACTATCATCTGAACTTCTGTCAGTGAGAGTGGTGAGGCATGGCAAGAACTGCCAAACAAGAGCCAGATTTTGAAAGCACCTGCAGAGAGTACTTAATTTTGTCTGTGAATCCATGGGACAGGATTCATCACTGCTTTTCTCTTTGCAAATTATCATTTACCTCACTGGACAGTGTCAAATACTTTTGACAAAAGAGAAAATCTGGGGCATAACTATTTTAACTGAGGGCTTCTCAGTGAATGGAACAGACCAATTACAGACTTTCCAAACAGATTTTGTAAAGCTAATAACATTTAAATGACAGGAATTAATTTACTCAAATGAATCACAACAGACAGTAAACCATATGCAAAGCATTTTCTACAGCCCGTGATGTGAACAGCAGAAAGCGCGAGAGAAAAACGAGCCTATGCAAAATGGGCTGATGCTGCCATCTGCCATGGTTTGGAAAAAATGCAAATTTGCCATCGATCATTTATTATCGATGCCCTTCATCGATTTATTATCTTCAATGCCCTTCTGAAGAACTTGGTAAAGCCCTGTCGGCAAGATGGCATTTGCTGCACTTTTTGTAGGGAAGGAAGCAGGCTGTGCTGAAAATTCCTACATTCACCTCATGGAAAGATGCCAGGAAACATAATATAGAAATGAACCTCTCTTTCAGATCTGAAAGGCAAAGTTAAAATAGAGCGGGAGGCATAATTTATATCTTTTGGGTGCATTTTTCTACCTCTGCTCATCTGTAATTTATGATCCAGTAATGCCTTTATCTATACAAATAGATGACTCAGACTTTGGCTTCACTCCGGAGTATTGTGATAGTTGTAGCAGCATTTGCACCCCAGGCAACCAGTCAGAAACAATTTACTTTGCACCTGCTTCCTTTCTTCCTCACCCTTCCTGTGCAGCCTGCTCCTCTGGCCATGGCTCTGGGGTGGGAAAGCAGGGACAGGGCTGCGGGTTTCTCCCCACTGTAGTAGCCTTCGGCTGATAGAAACAGCAGCAAGAGTACACCGTGATAGCCCTGATGGGACTGCACAGGGATCTGAAGGTGGATTCCCTTTAGAAGGCAGTGAAAAGGTCAATTATAAGCATTAATACAGACTGGGTGGTGATTGGATCGAGAGCAGCCCTGAGGAGAAGGACTTGGGAGTACTGGTGGATGAGAAGCTCAATATGAGCCAGCAATGTGCTCTTGCGGCCCTGAAGGCCAACCGCGTCCTGGGCTGCATCAAGAGGAGCGTGGCCAGCAGGTCGAGGGAGGTGATTCTCCCCCTCTACTCTGCCCTCGTGAGACCTCACTTGGAGTACTGCGTCCAGTTCTGGAGTCCCCAACATAAGAAGGACATGGACCAGTTGGAGAGGGTCCAGAGGAGGGCCACGAAGATGATAAGAGGGCTGGAGCACCTTTCCTATGAGGACAGGCTGAAAGAGTTGGGGCTGTTCAGCCTGGAGAAGAGGAGGCTCCGGGGTGACCTTATAGCGGTCTTCCAGTACCTCAAGGGGGCCTACAGGAAAGATGGGGAGAGGCTGTTCAGGAGGGCCAGTTATGATAGGACAAGGGGTAATGGTTTTAAAATAGAGGGAGGTAGGTTCAGGTTGGATATTAGGAAAAAATTTTTTACTATGAGAGTGGTAGAAAACTGGAACAGGTTCCCCAGAGAGGTGGTGGATGCTCCATACCTGGAGACGTTCAAGGCCAGGTTGGACAAGGCCCTGAGCAACCTGATCTAGTAGAAGATATCCCTGTTGCTTGCATGGACTAGATGGCCTTTGAAGGTCCCTTCCAGCCCTAACCGTTCTATGATTCTATGATTCTATGATAATCGAGCCAAGATTTTCTGAATGAAAGCTGAGAACTTGAGCCAAACTTAGTCCTGTCCTGAAGCTGGGAAGTTAAATTGGCTTTTGAAAAAACTCTCTGTCACTGTGAAGATTTATAGCTTGTCCTGATAGGGACCAAGGATAATATGCCATAGCCTGCATTTTGTATTTCACATATTTAAGATCTCACTTTTTCAAATTTACTTCTGTTTTCTCTACCTCTATTTGGATGCCAAATTTCCTTGACAGGGATGGAGGCATAGAAAATAAAGGCACAGAAATCTCGGTCAATGCTTAAAACTCTGGCCCTGCTCCTTGGAGCTGAAAGATGTCTCCACTGCTAGTGAGGTCAACGGAAGTTTGCTCCCTTACTTCCTCCTAGAGATCACATTCACCATGCCCTGGGACATGCTGCATCCACCTTCGGCACGGTGCTGTACACACAGCAGGCTGGCAGACTGTAACTTGCCTCCCTTCTTGCTTTGGATATTTCAAACTGCACCTTTCATGTCCCAAGCCCATTATGTTTCTGGGCATGCTGGGGCTGCAGAGGAGCCCCACAAAGTGCTGTGCAGAGTGGCTGCGGGCACCCAGCTGCAAAAGAACCACCCTCCAGCAGCGTGACGTGAACTGCCTCGCTGCTCTGTGGCTGCCTGGCTTCTCCCCTGCAGCCCACCAAGGCATCCAGATAGTGCAGAAATAGAGAAATAGAGAAAAAAATGGAGGCAGCTTGAAAGCCGGTGAGAACCTCTCAGATTCAAAGGAGAACAGATCACAGGACCTGAGCTGTGACTTGGCATTACTGGTTTTCTAAGTAGAATTTGCTTGAATAGTTGTGGAAACTGGGGAGAGTACAAGCTCCTTTCAAGGTTAGCATCCGCTGAGCTGTTGAAGAAGGGTTTTTTTAGATATTAAGCTGCTTTTGTGTCTCACAGCAAGAGTTATTGTCTCTTTACAGTTATTATTTTTGTGAAAGTAGAAGGTTTGGTTTAGAAAAATTTCCAGAAGTAAAGGTAAGAAAATTGAAAAACCTACTGCCTGAATATTTTCTTTGAAACCTGTCACAAAAGCCACTGATGATGACATAAACCAGCAAAAAGCAGGAAAAGAAAAATCTTCAAATTAAAATCAGAAAAGATTTCACACCTTTGCCATGTCTGTGCCATTCAGGGCTCTGGGAACTGTGAACTAGACTGGAAATTATTTCTTTCTGGTCCTTTTACCAAATTGAGCAAACTTGGGAAAAAGAAACTAGAGAAAAGATCTAAAATATTCTATCTAACCCTCTTGTGGGAATAAGGTCCTTAAATGCTGACCCATCCCCCAGAAAAGAAAATGTGTGTATTCCACTGAACAGGACTATTGGGCCATCTTTGTGCTCAAAGTTTCCTTCCAGTGCAGGCGTTAATTACAGGAACTTAATACTGACTGCAGTACTACAGTAACTAATTAACTTAGTTGATTTTAAATGTCTATACTATAAGCTTCTACATTCAGCCTACTTATCAGAGACCTCTTGTAGTCAATGGAGAAAAATAAACATAAACAGAGAGAGAAAAATAAACAGAAAAAGAAAACTAAACCAAACAAACAGATAAACAAACAGCTTCAAATTTTGTCACCCTGAAGCAGATGTTTAAATTAAATTGAGTTACTCATGCCCCAAAAATAAGTATTTCTCAGTAAAGTGAGCTGAGGATGACGAACTCAAATGAGGGTGAGTTTTGTCCTGCCACTGAAAACTGTAGACAATGAGGCCATGGAGTAATACTTTGAAAAGAAATAAATTCAAAGTGTAATGATTATTTAAGCTGAAGCTAAGTTCTTATTTGTGTGAAACATCACTGTGCGCATTGGCTGTTTTGGTCATGTTTCAAATGTGTGCTGCACTTTGGGCACAAATAAATTGCAAGTGAGCCTCCTACGAAGTATATGAACTGCGTGAGATATGGTAGGCAAGGTATGGCCCTGATAAAAGGAAATAAAATTTTCACCTTGGAGTTTGTTCCAGACTTATATAAAACAATGTGGGTTTTGAAGTTTAAATATGTAGAGGCCAGGTTTGTGGACAAGGTGGGGGGACAGGCTGGCCTTGACAACATAGGAACACCTGGCACAGAGGACTTAACCCTCCTGGCTCCTGGTAAACCTGGGAAGAATAGTAGAAAGTGGCACAACTTTCCATCTCCCTCAATTCATATGTGCACTCTTTATGTGCATGTCATATAAACTGGAAATTATCACCTCAACACAGATGTGTTTGCCCAGACCATGGAACTTGACATAAACTGTTGTGGTGTCTTTGGTTTCTGGATATAATTTCATTTTTATAAAGGGACTTATTGTAGGAAGCAGAGAGACCAGACTAGATATCAAATAATCCTCTCAGAAAATGGTCAGAATACATTTTTGTTGTTTTTTTTTTTTTTTAACATTTTAAGAGTCAGAGCATAATGATCACATTGAAAAACTTATGATATACATACCCCTTTTTTTCTGAGTATTTTCTATCCATCTGCCTACTGCAAAAGAAACAGTGGTGACATCTGATCTGTAATACAGAGGCAGCATATGGTCTGAATAAACAGAAACCTAGGACTAGGGTAGGACTAGGATCGCTGGCTTGAATGGAGCTGCCTTTGATTTCTGAAGTGCAAAACTTGAATCATTTCTCAGATCCATACCTCAGAGGTATGGAAAGATAACAGACTTAGATCTGAACATAGTAGATTTAGTCCTCTCCTGTCTGGCTGTTTCACTGGTTAACTATGAAAGGGGCTATGTGGTGCCCCTCATACACGTTGCTTCAGTGGTTGTGATTCCAGGTGTTCAAGAGCCATTTTCACTGTAGCTGTGCAATAGGCTCAAAACAGACTCATATTTTATTCACCTCTTGCTTTTTTAAGAATAAGAAAATTTAAGCTAAGTCTAATTATTTTTTTTCTAACATGTTTTTTTTTTACCAAGTCCTTGACTTCTTGTGGTTTTACATAACAGTTCCCAGGAGAAAAAAAATCTTCCAAAACATTACCCACTGACAAATTTGTATCTTTATCATGTGACATGAATAAAGGAAAATATTATAGAAATATGCACTATAAAGAAGACTTCAGCAAATGTAGTTCAGATTCTGATGATCATCTTGTCCCATGAAAAGAGTGCTTGTAGAGTTGATGAAACTGAAATCTGTTCAGATTTGAAATCAATGAACTAGAAGTCTTTTTCACATAGCTTGCAATTAATCTCAAAGTATTTTACTAAAGTTATCTTGAGAATATGATATTAATAGTGTCAGAAAAAGACTGATTGTATACACTGAAGTTCTTAATACTAGATACATAGATGTGTTCTGGGAGGGGTGATTTAGTTTATGTCCTAGTGTAAGACAGCCTCTGGTGCTACTGCTAAGACTTGAAGACTTGAAGGCGAAAATATATCATGAAACTATAATGAAACTTCTTATCTTACAAATTCCTCTTGATCCTATAGATTCCTCTTAAAGGATTTCTTATATCTTCCTCATGTATCAGTGTTGGATAAGGTCAGACAGGATGCTGGAGTAGGTGGACCCTGGTTCTAACTCAATATGCCAATTCCTTTTTGTAAGCGTATACAGAAAGCATTGGAACTTTATGAAAGTTTAAATGAAAATATTATGCTGTTTTCTAACCAACTCAAGCTTTTATCAGTAGAGGCAATATTTTGAATTAATGTGGCACAGAAAATCTTCATATTCTCCACTAGACTGAAAAGCTTTGTAAACCACAATCTGAATACTGATGGTACATGAAGTATATCAAACTGGTACTTTCCTTTTATTGTTCAAGAAATCTGCATGGTTGTGTTTTTCTCTTATTTCTTTATTAATAGTAATAATTATATTCTCAGCAGGTATAAATAGACTTTTTGCATAAGATATACAAAACAACAGTTAAGCTGATTTACTTTATGGAAGGGATCTGGCTAAGTCTGAAGAAATGTCGGTTTAAAAGCTTTCATAATCATTGTGGTTACAATGAAGAAAAAATAACATTTCAATGATCAAAGGTTGTTTTTCTGTTCATTTGGTGAAACCAATGTAAACTCTCATAGTAGACATTGTCCTGTTAGAAAAAAAATATCAATATGATAGCAGTGTTAATCATGCTCTTGGACATTTCTTGTAGGCTATGCAGTACCGTGGTAAAAAAGAGAGAAGAATAAAGCTATATCAACAACAAAAAAATGGTTTTACTAAACCTGCTCGCTGTTAATAAATTGATCATAGTGTAGATTAGAAGTAGTAGTCTGTGAAAATGTTTATCTGCATTCATTTCATTACCTTCCATTTCACTCTCTACAGTATCATTTTTATACATTGAAAAAAGCCCTCTGAGTCACTTCCCGCTTCTGTAAATAATGAAGTGCAACAGTTTGGAAAACAAACAATATCAATACCTTGTGCCACCTGTGGATTTTCTATGTAACCAGTTATCTCACTTAATCCTGCAAATAAATGCATATAGATCAATGGGGAAAAAAAAAGTAACCGTGCTACAATCTGTGTAAGTAAGCGTCATAACATTTATTCTAACAGTAGGTACTCATTTCTCAAATCTATTCAAAATCAAGAATTTTTGATATTTAAAACCGAATACATGCAGTGACATGGCCATTTCCACTCTGTTGCTCGTGATTTAATTTGTTGCTTCATGAGTGTTCACAACATTTTGTGTCTGTATTACGAGATTGTCTTCATCAAATAAAAGAGTGAGAAGTGGAAAATTTACTGTACCGAAATCTAATTCCAGAGCAAAATAATCCCTCTATGGAAAAACAATATGAACAATTTGTATTCTATTTACCCAACAGTAGTAGTTTGACTGTCCTGGCTTCCCTCTCTGCATCTGCCTGGAGTTTCTTTTCCAGTTCTCTGGATCTCCTGGCCGACTCCTTGCTCTCAGAACTGGCTCCACTGCCCATCTTGAGGTATTAAAAATCCTCTGTTTGTCCAGTGGATTTGCTTCTTATGAGAGTAGTTGCTTTAATTCAGAAGGACAACAGCCTGTGCTTCAAGAAAATTTAAAAATCCCATTCAACCTCTGTGTTCAGCCTTCAAATCAAACGGTCTCTTTTCACCTGCCACATGATCTGGAAATGCTACAGCCAAGGATTTATATAGGGAAATAAAAACGTACTGCTATGATGTCATAGAATTAAAATGATCTATTCAAGACCAAAACCACGGTCTGGATAGATCTCTGTCCTTCTTCAGACAGGTTCCAGCTTCACATGCTTCAAAGAAATGTGTGGAATGTCTTGAAACAATAAAATTGAGAAGGAAAGGAAAAAATTTTCAGCTTGTGAGGCATTGTTGGTGCCCTGAAGCAAAAAAAAAAGTTTATATGTCTTTGAAGCATTTGCATAATTTATTTTTAATCTTTCTCAGTAGCATAGCTCTAAATATTTGTATTCTTTATATTAAAATGAAAGAATTTGGATTTATCTAGTTGTCATATTTTATTTTGAATTACTTATTAACATGAAGAATGTTTGCTGCATTTTCATATTATGGCAAATGCATTAATTTTCTTGTAACGGTAATGGGTAATTTACTACAATTTGTAACATCTTTGGGATACTTTTGTGTAGCCATTCCTTGATAAATGTCATAGTTCTTTCCATTTTTGTATGATGCTATCAGCAGTTACCAGTTTTGGCTGAAAGCCGTCACAACTTTTTTGTGCAAGGATGAACATAGGTCAGATTTTCCCCACAGGTGTAATAATTTCATATTAATTATTTTGTAATGCAATAGTAATATAGAAATATTTTATGCAATGTGGTGGAAATATTACTTGGCCTGTAGTGTCAGCAGTATATTGAGAAAATGTACTCTCCTGTAATATTGTGGTAGTGGGGAAGAGTAGAACTACTGTCAGGACTAAAAGATCCAAAATAATTTATTTTTGGTCCTTTCTCTTCAAATTAAGAATTTCAAAAAAATAAATCTTATTAGTGTGCAATACTATAACTAATTGTAATATTACACTTATTCACTTTATAAAGTATTTCAATTATATAAAACATACAAACATAAAAATTGTATTGCAATTTTGGAACTATTGACTAGTAATAGTCAATAACACTCTGATTTTACAGTATGTAAGCTTATAAGGTTTAGCCTGGAAATAATGTTCAAGGGAAATATATGCACACAGGTCAGTTTCAGTGATGTTAGACGTATTTTTAGGTCAGAAGATGAATAAGGAAGAGGGCCGGAGGCAAAGCATTTAACTCATCCTGTCCTATAGAAAAGGAACTTTCCTGTAGCAGAAGTAGGTGGACCCCAGATGTAACAGGAAGGCAACTGGCACTGGATTGGGAAGATGGGAATGAGAAGAATAAAGGTCAGCAGTGGTACGAACGAGTTCTGTGCCATTAGAGACAGAGAGAGCTGTCTTCTGAGAAACGACAGGTCCTTTGCTGTTCTCATCCCAATTCAAGGCGAGTGTCTTCTCAGATTTCAAATTGAGACCACATACAGCAATAAAGATCTGAAGTTGTGCTTTTTCAGTATGTGCTTCTCAATCAGTGGAGCAGGAAGCCTTGTTTTCAGTCTCCTTGCACTGCTTTGCCAGAGATGAACGATTGGACTTGTTAACAGCTGAATTTTTGCATGTACATTTACAATGCAAGAAAATACTGTTTCGTTAAGCCTATATTCTTACTTTGTTTATTCGTTAAATATAAGCTTTAAAAAAAGCTGTAATAAGATGTTTATGCAGCCACAGTAAAAACTAGTTTGTTTAAAAAATGAAAATAAGTAGCTTCAGAAATGCGGTATCAGAGCCAGGTGTCTGTTTATCAGAACTGTAGGCAAGTGCAGTGATCCTGGGGATTTCAGTGGGTTTGAAAAGTAAGTCTGTTTTGAGCATTTCTGTTCACTAACTGAATTTACAAATTAACTGATAATAGTCATGAATCATAGAGAAGAACATCATCTCTAGATTAAGGGCCCATTTCACTACTGAGTTGTTCCAGGCATATACTAGTATAACTCTAATCATTTTGCATTTAATTTTTACAGTATAAAACTGGAACAGTGTAATGGTAAACTAGGTCTTATTCAGTTATACTAGAAAAATTGAGTGTAAATAAATCAGGATAGAAATCTTTACATCATTTTTTACTAGTTGGAAAACAATGAAAAATCAAGGATGCGTCCTGTAGCATAAGTTTCCTACCATCCTCTGTCACTATTATGGCTGCATACAGGAGTTGATTTTAAGTAGGTGTCTGATATAAACAGACTGTAAACAGAACAAAGAAATAAAGATGCAAACAATTACTTCATAAACATACAGTATCTATAACATCTTATCCATTTAATTTGCTCACTTCTGTCTTCAAACCCTTAACTAAATAGTTCACTGGAAAAGCAGCAATCTATTTCTCTGGAGAGTAAAGGCAGATATAGAAGAATGAACAGAATTCTGTTCATCTCCTGTGACATCATCATCATCATCATCATTAACTGTATTCTGATTGAGGAACTTGATTATGATGATCAAGTCAGAGGCAATAGACACTGCTTTAAAGTGTTCAGTTGAATCTAACATGTCTTGTGGTATCTTTTCTCCACCTATTCTACATGCAATAATAAAAATATTGTCTCTCTCTGCCTCTCTTCTGTTGCCTCAGCCACGTGTATTTGATATGGAAGTCTCTGAAAGCCAGTAAGTCTGGAAAATGTTCCTTTGAGATACAATCACACTTTGTAAATCATATGGTTTTGGAGTTGTTTCTAGTGATGCTCTCTAGGTGGTGCTGATAATATAGAGTGTACACAACAGACACTCTGCAGCCAGTAAGAGTTATAAGAGACTTTCTGAAAGGCTCTTTCAAAAAGTATGTTTAGAAGTCACGGATTTGTGATTCTGGATTCCACCAAATTTTTATTTTGGAACTTATATTAAAAGTGTACTGGTTTGGGAGTTTTGTTTGACAAATATATGGATTGTTCTGTTAATAGAGTCTCAGTTAACTTGAGTTTTTATTTTCAGTTTCTTTTGAAAGTACTACACTCTTCCCAGCCAGAAAAGAGAGATAGCTTTAGAAATTCACTCCTCCTTAGTTTTCCTCTCTTATTTTCTTTCTAGATATTTGCATTTACAAACTGTTCAGACTGGAGTCTGTTCATCTTTTCCACATTTCACTATAACTTTTTTTTTTATTTTTACCCATGTGTTTCAGTCTTCTAATCTTCTTAACTGGCTGATGACAATCTCTTTTTTTTTTTTTTAATTAGCTGTTCAAAACCTAGAAACCTGTCTCTGGATGTGCACTCAAGAGAGCTCAGTGGAGGGATTCCCTTGACCTGATAGCTCTATTCTTAAGGCAGACTGGTATGTGGCTGACCTTGCCTAAGGGCATGATGCTATTCATACTCGACTTACTGTCCACCATTCAGGTCCTTTTCTGCAAAGCCACATTCTAGTCAGCTCCCAGCCCGTAATGTTTCATGGAGTTATTTTGTTCCAGATATAGGAGTTTGCATTTACCCTTGAGCTTCATGAGTTTCATGTTGGCCCATTCCTCCGTCTTACTGAGATCTGTCTGAAGGGCAGCCCTGCCCCGTGGCATACCAACCACTAATAAGCACTGTCCAAAGTTAATGTTAAGTAAGTTAACCCAGAGCAGTACACAAGCATGTTTGAAATTCAGTGTTTGGGAAACAACACTGTTTGCTGCTGGAAAAAGTTAGTCTTTTCAAGCACAGTTGAAAGCATATCCTCATAAAAACAGACGAACATTTAACTCAGAGCAACTCAGGTATATGATCTAGCAATTCCTTAATATTATTCCTAGTATGTACCCATTATGAAGCCTTTTCTCTATGCACTTCATGATTCCACAGTGATTTAAATATTCGGTTACATGAAAGGTAACCTTCTTGTGGTCCTGATATTCGTAATGGGCCATGTTTACTTCAGATTCCATTTATTGATGAATCCTGCTGTGTGTCTTCTTGCTTCAATTAAAAAAAAAATAAAAAAAAACCCCAACAACAAAACAGATCTACACAGTTCTTCTCATGTTTTTTTTTCAGAAATTAAAATAACTCTAACATAGCTGTTTCATAAGGGTCACATAACTGAACTTAGTGTTCTAGAGATTGTCCTACATGTTTGTGTGGTGACCTTTCATCTGTATTTTCCATGCTATGGGAAAAAAATCTTAGTAAAGAATAACTAATATGTTGATAATTGGTAAGAACAGAATGATGTAGTTAATATCAGCTGAGAAAATTTTATGCCTATTTATCAATGCTTCATTATTTTTTCATAGATTCATAGATTTCTAGGTTGGAAAAGACCTTAGAGATCATCGAGTCCAATCATCCCTAATCCCTATTAAACCATATCGCTAAGTAGATCATCCATCCTATTCTTAAACACATCCAGGGATGGGGACTCAACCACCTCCCTGGGCAGCCTATTCCAGTGGCTGACAACCCTTTCAGAGAAGAAATACTTCCCAACATCCAACCTGAATCTCCCCTGACTAAGCTTATACCCATTTCCTCTTGTTCTATCACCCAACACTAACGTAAAGAGCCCTTCCCCTACCTTTTGCTCTTTTTTTCATACTATCTCCACATTTTGACAAAAGAAGAGTGTTTTGCACAATTAATTTCCATGCTAACTGTATTTATGTGGGAAAATGTCTGAATTTTTTAGGCACATTTTTTTCAGAACTGAATGTCTTCAGTTCTGGGCTTCTTTTATAAGCAATATTAATTCTTAAGATGCAGGTTCCTGAAATTTTCCAACTGAAAACAAAAAAAAAACCCTACTCTAATTTTTCCATGGGGAAGAAAATATTGTTTCTACGAAAAACATTGAAATACAAAGAATACATTTATAGATCAGTTAAGTTGAAAATTTTGTATGAAGAAAATTTTTTTTTTCCTTTTTATT